GATGATGATGATGATGATGATGATGATGATGATGATGATGATGATGATGATGACGATGATGATGGTGATGACGATGATGATGATGATGGTGATGATGATAATAATAATAACAAAAGTAACAATAACAACAGAAATGGAAAATAAAACATAAAACAAGCAAACAAATGGCAAAAGTTTTCAGCAAATTCCAAGCACCTCAAGCACAAAGCTGCAGGCAAAAAAAAATACTGACAAGCAAAGGAAAAGTAAGTTGGCAATGTACAAATAAATAATAATAATAATAATAATAATAAAAATAATAATAAATTATAACAATAATCATAATAATAATGATTGCATATAAATATAGCCCATATCCACACTTTACAGCATGCTCTATGCGTTTTGAATTTTCCAACTTTATAAATCAGATGTTGAGGTGCTGAGCTTTTGTTTCCCGTTAGTCTACACGGTAATGATGATACTGGTCCCTAGACACTTAGTTTTAGTAAGAGTTTTACGGCACTTGCAACACAATAAGGTCATATAAGTGCGGAAGAATAGATTACTCGTAACAAGAGAGTAACGTACACAAAAAAAAAGGAGGAGAAATAAGGATGATAGGTGTTTCATAGGAAAGAAAGAGCAAACCACACCAGAGCACCCACCAACCACCCACTTAGGAAGGTTTTACGGAGCTCGCAGCTGCATACAGTCATATGAGAACCAAGGGGTGGATGTCAACAGAGAAGTCCAAACAGGGAATCAGACTTACTCCGCTTACCTCTCTAGCCTCTACAGCACAAAGTCTGCTTCCACTATCAAGGCACTCCGGAAATAGCAGTTCACAAGAGAGTGACAAACATACAAAGGAAGTAGAGGATAAAATTACGAGAGGAAAGTAAAAGTAGCAGTTCCCCCTATGTTGTTCCGGCACAGTATGAGCATGACATTGAAAAATCAGCCCATTTACAATTCGTGGTTTTATGTGCCACGCATAATTTAGCAAAATTTTATCATTTTTTTGCATAATTTCTGATTATTTTCCTTTATCATCCTTTGTTAAAATTAACAGAATCGCATAATTTCACATTTTTGGGCTCAGTTTGCATAATTTCAGAATTTTTCTTGCATAAAACGACGAGGACAGATGAGTAAAAGCTGTACGTCATTTACCACACAAGTAGGTCATCATGTAAGTGCCAAAGATAAGAGGTATTACCAGAGAGCGGCATACTAAGATAAGCAAGAGGAGAGATTGATAAGGGCCATAGATGGTGGATAGGAAAGAAGGAGCAAACCACACCTGAGCACCCACCAACCTCCCATGGTACTACTAGGGAGTGGAATGCAAAGAAAAGAGGGCGAAAAATAGGGACAATAGATGTTTGCAAGGATAGAACGGGCAAACCACACCAGTGCGCCAACCAACCACCCAAGCTCAACGAGAAAGACCAGGGTAGGATCAAAAACAAATACAAGGCATTATTATACTATGAAAAAATAAGGGAAACTGCAGAAAATAGTAGTAGTAGTATAAGGTTTTACGGCGCTCGCAACAACTGCAGAAAATAGGGTAAATTAATATTTCATGCTTAAAATTTATCAAAATCCTTTTTCCCTATTCTTTTCCTGACAATGGAAAAAAATTACTGGAAATGTTATGCTGAGAATTTTCTCATTTATAACCATTGCCTTTCTGTTTTTAAATTAACAAGATGAATATTTGGAGTAATTTTCTTTCAGTTAGAACACAACGTTTTATGTTACTGTTGTACGTTGTACGGTATTGTAAAGCGCTCAGAGCCTGTGTACTTTAATCGGGGTTGAGCGCTATACAAATGTCATTTATTATTATTACTATCGTGGTTAGCGGAAAACATGGGCACAAAATTTGAGATAGAGAAACAGACACAAGTAGGAACTTACCACATTGAACACGGTGGTGAGCGAGCGACCGACGAAGTAGAAGGCGACACCGATGTACTTCAGGCACAAGTTGTTGAACGTGATCATCGACACAAACACGATGGACAAGGGCAGGGTCTGGGGACAACAACGCAACATTATCATACATGATCAAAATAGTTTGTTCTTCAATACAGCATACATTTTATACAAATCATGAATATCATTTTCCTGGAAAAAAAATGTTGTGCTTTTTTTTCGTTGTTGTTTTTTGTGGGGGAGGGGGGAGGGGGGAGGGGGGGGGGTGGAAGACTGCAGCTTGTAGGCTTCTTTCATGGTCTCAACATTTCTAATTCATAAGCCCACAATGGAAAGTAGATGTAGGCCTAATTCATACTTTAAGACAAGAAAGGGAGGGAAAAAAGGGGCAAACAAAAAGTAGGATCGACTCACAGCTCTGATCAGCTTGCCTTCCAGCTTCACAGCAGGAAACGAAACAAACTGTGGGAACAGCTGTCCCCCGATACTGAGCAGGAAGCAAAGCAGAACAGTGACCACACACTGAAACCAGGTGATGAACATTGGCGCATTCAACTGGAGAGGAAGAAAAGAAAGCAAAAATAAATTATCAAACATTGCTGATATGATGAGCCAGCATATTTCTTCGTGCTACTTAATTTCGTACTTACTATTTACATCATATTATAATATTATTATTTATTTGGACTGTGGTAGTATTAATGTCAGCTTATGCGCTAGTGTTAATCTTAAGACAACGCTTATGTATGCATGTATGTTTAAGTACATGAATTTTGTGTTAACATCAAGCTATTGTAAATCCCCTAGAGCTATACTGTACAAGAGGAAACACTAAAGAAATTATCTCCACTATAACAATTAATATCATTGTTATCAATGATCTATGATCCTAAAAATAGCTTACCTTGTGCAGTTGCGAGCGCCGTAAAACCTTACTAAAACTAAAACTAAAACTAAAAATAGCTTATCTAAGGGTGGGGGTCTAGGTTTGGGTTTGTGTGTTGACAAATTCCCTAAGGAGAAACAGAGATAAGGCTAAGACATGACAAAAACATACAAAAAATGTTACAACTAAAACACGATGAATGAGAAGAACTATACCACTGAAGACATGGACGGGAAAGAGAAACAGCTTACCCAACAGCTCAAAACAATCTTTATCTTGGCCTGCTTGGTATCTCAAAACCAATGTTTTGTTTAGCCAGATGTGGACCCCGCAGGGTTTTCAAACAGACAGTTGTGGTCTTTTTTGTACCATAAGAGTTTTACGGCACTTGCAACACAAATTGGTCACAAAAGTCTTTTTTGTTTTAGTAGAGGTTTTACGGCACTCACAACTGCATTTATATATATATATATAAGGTCATATCAGCACCAGAAGATTAGCAGTGTTACAAGAGAGTAACAAACATAAAAAAGAAGAAGGGGAGATAAATGCAATCCATTATTATTATTACAGACGAATTTAAACAAGATGCTCTCCACATCCTCTTAGCTTAGCTCTAACAGAGGTAGGCAATTAGTTTGGAAATAAAATTGAAGTCCTTTCTCTCTTAGATCACACCGCGTTGAAAGGGAACTTGGTAAACACACAATAACTCCTATCTTTTTTTTAAAGAAAAAAAACATCTAGCCTTGTATCGTACACAATATTGAAGTAAATGGCTTTGTTTTCATACAAATAAATTTTCAACTGTATTTGAAAAGCAATTCTTTAGTTCTTTATTCGTTTCACAAAAACCAAGAATTGTAAACAAAGGCAGTCATTATCTCTACATGATATAATATTTGTGAAAGTTCGTCACTTTGGCTGCCTAAAACTTCAGAACCACTTAACTTTCGAATTTGACAAAATTTATGGTGGTTCAGAATCATTAAAATGGTGCACATTTCTATTGAAAAGCCTGAAGTCACCGTAGTTTAAATTTCAGTTTTTCATTAGTTTCGTTTAGATCTAATCTTGAGAAAGTCCATCTTCTAAGAAGACGCCATTGTAAACAAGTGAGGTTTCCATTCACTAGCCGTGCGTACTTTTTCCCCACCTTTGAAATTCTGGAGTGTTCAACCACAAAAGCGGAATAGAGAATCAATCTATACATTACTATATAGATAGTTTAGATTATAGTTTTTTTCATCTCGCAGGATTTATTACTCCATTCCAGTAGAGTGCAAATATAGTAGGCCAAAGACTTTCCATTGATGTAAATGTACCCTTCATTCCCTTTCATCGAAAAGGGGCCCAGCCAGTAATAAAAAAAAGGTACAACTCACCTTGACACTTTCACTGCTCAGCAGATATTTGTTCACAAACACCATGGAAATGGAGATGGTCCTGAAATGTACAAAACAAACCAGCAAATAAAACCTAATGTTTATGAATGATATGACTATATATCTACTATATATCTAGCTTCTGCGTTTGTTGCCATTTTTTTGTCCAAAAGTTGCCACAAAAAGCGGCAAAAGTTGCCCAAAAAGTGGCCATAATTTTTGGCCTTTGCTTTAAAAATCAATCTCTCATTTCCCACAACAAGATCATGACATGATTAGTCACATCAAATTGTGTCACCAAAGACCCAAAGATGTATAAAATTATTTGTTCAGTCTTATATATATATATATAATAATCTTTGTTTAACCTCATTTTGTTGGGATGCCATCTAGGTCTTTGTCTACATTTGTCATCTTTGAGCTAGCTATTAGATGCATGCATGTTCTCTGGCTCTGAGGACATGCTGGGTGCCGTCTATACAAAAGTGATTTAGAACTATTCTGATTTTTTTCTGATGGAACTAAGTGGTGTTGTGTACAAATGGTCCTAATACAGAGCCCTGTGGTATCCTATAATTAAAACTACTGAACATGATAGGGCAGACTTTTTTTTTCCATTCCCAAGAACAGACTGCTAACACCTAGAGTAGTTCAAAAGGATGAGAATTTGCACCACTCAAGAACAGAATAAAATGTCTGGAGTGGTCAGTATTAGTGCCAAAATGCTATGCAGAAGTCTAACATAGATTCTAGATCTAGTAAGCATTGAGACGTGAACTTACATCTGCTGCACAGAGAAGATCTTTTGTAACCTTTTACTTTTAGGCCTCTATACAATCAATGCAGTGTGTATTTTAGGCATCTTTTTGTAGATTCTTGCAGATGATTGGAAGCCCTCCATGAACCCATTCTTTTCAAGTAAAGATGTGTTTTAATTTTGACACTTCATCAGAATGTGAAACTAGATCTAGAGATCTAGATCTAGATATCTAACTCTATTATAAGCATGGGCTTAACAATCTGTAAACACCCCCCC